ACTTCTTTCTGAATCTAAGGGACTAGCTGTCAAACAGTTGGTTCAGCTCTGTTGCACCACGCTGCTCCCATGGAACTGGCTCTGCCAGTAGTCCTGGTAGGTGTGATCAAACTCTCTTCCAAAACAAGAGTCTTTCACTGGGCCATGTACCTGGGGCCTCACTTCTCTGTGTAAGTTCTGCTGCCAATAACCAAAGAGTGGGGAATTCCCCTTTAAAGCTCAGCCCCTGAGCTTCACAGCCTTTCTACCCTCATATCTCCCACATCCCCAAATAATCATCACATGTCACACAGGCAGCTGTGAGTGAAAGGTGCCAAACCCTGGTGCCACATAAAAAGGGAATCCTGGGCCACCAACCAGCCCACAATTATGTAAGGTAATTGGTTTCGTGTTACTCAGATGAGTTGCCTTGGCTTGCCTCAAGCATGACTCAGGCTTCCAGGGGCCTCCCCACCTGGAACTCTATGTAAGCTGACTCCTCTTGTAATTTCAACCCTGGATTCCTTGCTCCTTCCCTCTGATTGTCCCTTGCTTCTATCTTCAAGCCAACAGACAAACTATTTTTCTCTCTGGGCCTCATTCAATTTTCAGGAACAGAGTTTATTTCCAGAGTTTCCAAATCTTCACCTGTTACAGGTCATAACCACTCCTTTCAAAGCTCCCTAAGCCCCAGGAATGCCCAAAACCAGCCTCTCCTCTGTCCAATATGTTTTCAGACTTTATGAGCTCTGATTTTCTCCTATTTTTCTTGTGGGTGACAAACCAAACCCTCACTGCCTCAAGTATATCAACCCAAGTCAATACAAGTTGTTCCTTCCTAAAATCCCCAGGATGCTCTTCCAGAAGCTTCTCTGTTGCCCACTCCTATGGCACAAAGCTACTGGGATAAAGGCAGGTGGAGGGGCAAAGGCCAAGAGAGATGTCAGCAATGGGGAGCCTCTGACCCCTGTGATGTGGTCCTTGGGTCAGCATATTTGAGAACTGATATTCTGGTTATGGATTTAAGGACCAATGATAGGCTTGAACAAACTTCATATTTTATTTCAAATGGAAATCTAGAAGCAACTTTTGATATGGTTTCAAATATTTTTTAACTTTGGAGGGAAAATGCTTAGATTCTTTCATGCTGTGTTTTCCTTTAATTCCTTCTTTCAGGTAAGTATTACTATGGTATTTTAAAATCATTTTAAATTTTAGAATGGAAATCATCATGCTTACTGTTCTTTTAAATTAGCAGTTTTCAAACTTTGCAAGTCAGCAGAACCATGTTTTCAAAGAAAATCTTAGCAGATTCCTCTTGTATAAAATAAATAAAAGTTGGGTTGCTGGGGTGTTGAGAAAGGAGAACAGTCCTAGAAGCACTTCTGCAGAGCTCCAGGGTTGTAGGGAAAATAGTTTAAAAACCATTACTTTAGAATGTAAGCATACTTTATTTAATCTAAGACATGAACTATGGTAAGACATACCATGCAGCACAAGGAAAGAAAAACACTGCCACTCAATGCCACTGATTGACCCAATATCAGAGATGATAAAAGGTGGTCAATGTATAGCTACAAATGATTATTTGCAGTAGTATAAATATACAGATAAATCATGTGAATGTATTCACACAGTCAACTTGAAAGTTAAATTTAAGAGAATCAGCAGCAATAGCTTTAGGTAAATGCTGGCTTCCATTCACTGAGCACTACTAAGTAATGTGCACCAGACAGATGGCAACTGTGGGAGTTGCCTCTGCACTCCTGGCCTTCCTTCCATTTCTTAATGTTCTCATTTATTGACCATTCAGTAGGCAGTGTTGAGTGCTACACATGCATTGCGTCATGTGATTCTGATACATGGGCAGGTTTAGAAGCTATTAATGTAATCTCATGAAACCTTAAATGGAAACTATGGTAGGAGGAAATAGAGTCAAATGTCAGCCTCATCAAGGAATCAGTGATTTCTGCACAAAAGAAGAGTAATGCCATGTTTCTCTGTTTCTTATAAAAACCTCATACTGAGACATACATGCATAAGGAAAACATCCACAGGAAACTTTACATAAACCACTGAACCCTACCTGCTTTGGGTGGGGCCAGTCCCTCTCATCAACAAACCCTCAACCCAGATCCAGACTGGGACACTATCAGGAAGAAATAAATCATCTCTAGTTAAGATGTGATGTGTTCTCAGGCCCAGTCCAAAATGCATATATCCTTAGAGTGGTTCTGCTCCATGCCTCCTTATCTCATTGTCTTCTCCAAGACCCAGAAATTGGAAGCTGAGGTCTTATCCCCAATATATCAACCTTAAAATTTTTCATCTTAATTACAGCCGATGGATAGAAAAATAGCCTGTCTAAAAATGGAATGGTTTGTCTTAAAAGTAGTGAGTTTCCTATCTGGTAGAGTTGGGAGGTGAAAGTGGGGTTAGGTGTAAACTGAGGCTGGATGAGCATTTAGGAGGCCTGCCATAGGGGGCACAAAAGCATTATATGGGGTGAGAAGTACACTGTTTTCAAAATAAATAAACTTTATGGTCCTTTTCAGCTCTCTAATTCAGCAAATCTCAAGTCCACTGAAATTTTATGCCAAACTTAGATCTCAAATTCATTGACTGGCACTGTTCGGTAAAACTTTCTATAATGATAAAAATGTTCTAGATTTACATTCTAGATAGCTACTATCCACATGTGGCTATTGAGCACTTGAAATATGGCTATGTGACTGAGGAAAGAAATTCTTCATTTTATCAAATATTTTTTTTCTTTTTTGAGATGGAGTCTTGTCCTGTTGCCTAGGCTGGAGTGCAGTGGTGGCATCTTGGTTCACTGCAATCTCCACCTACCTGGTTCAAACAATTCTCCTGCTTCAGCCTCCCAGGTAGCTGGGATTACAGGCACCTGCCACCATGCCTGGCTAATTTTTGTATTTTTAGTAGAGATGGTGCTTCACCATGTTGGCCAGGCTGGTCTCGAACTCCTGACCTTGTGATCCACCTGCCTCGGCCTCCCAAAGTGCTGGGATTACAGCCATGAGCCACTGCACCCATTCTGTTTTGTCTAACTTTAGTTTTAATTTAAACAGCTAGTGTGGCTGGTGCCTACCATATTGGACAGCACAGCTCCAAGGAGGCTATTTAGTCTTGTCTTGAACTTTGGCATAAGAATTACTTCTTTAACATTAGCTACATGTGGAACCTTAAAAACCAAAGCAACACAGGAGTTTGAGACCAGCCTGGCAAACAAGGTGAAACCCCGTCTCTACTAAAAATACAAAAATTAGCCAAGTGTGGTGGCAGATGCCTGTAATCCCAGCTACTAGGGAGGCTGAGGCAGGAGAATCACTTGACCTGGGAAGCAGAGGTTGCAGTGAGTGGAGATCACACCATTACACTCAAGCATAGATGACTAGAGTGAAACTCTGTCTCCAAAAAAGAAAAAAAAAAAAAAAACAATAGAAACAGAGAGTAGAATAGTGGTTGCCAGGAGCTGGGGCAGAAGAGTTTGGAGAGGGATGGGAAGATGTTGGTTAAAGAGTACAAGTTTCAGGTGGGTTGATTAAGTTCTGGAGATCTATTGTACAGCCCCGTGACCATAGTTAATAAGTTGTATACTTGAAAATTGCTAAGAAATTAGATCTTAAGGCTGAGTGTGGTGGCTCATGCCTGTAACCCCAACACTTTGGGAGGCCAAGGCAGGAGAATTACTTGAGCAGGAGTTTGAGATCAGCCTAGGCAACATAGCAAGACTCCATCTAAATTCCTTTAAAAAAAAAAAAAGAGAGAGAGAGATAAGGAAATTAGATCTTAAATGTTCTCATCATAAAAAATAAGTGCAGTATGTGAGGTAATAGATACATTAGTTTAATTTAATCATTGCACAATGTATATATACATCAAAACATCCCATTGTGTACTGTAAATACATACAAATTTTAGTTGTCTAAAATTTTTTAAAAATAGAAATAACTTCAGAGATAACCTAAGAGCAACTGGAAAGATGCCAGTTATTTAAAAATTCATCCCAAAATAGCTGATCAAAGGCCAACTGCAGGATGTGGCATGATTTCCTTGTAAGTTCTCTCTGGCTGTACTTATCCGATAGTGGCATTCTTTACATTCTTGCTTCCTTCAACCAGCTCACACTGTCGCTCCCTTTTCATTGCATGCATTTTTCATCATCCTTTGCTTTCACTAGCCAGTCTTACTTGTATCTTAAGCCCAAGAAATTGCAGTTTGGCCAATGTGTTCAACCAGTCACTTAAGTGAGAACTCTGAATCAAAATGGTCATGGGGCTGAATTGATAAACTGGCCAGAGCCCTGTGATATGACAGAAGGAACTTCCTGGTTTCTCTTTCATCCATGCACTTGTTCTTTGATTGGGATAGTTTCACCCATGTACGAAATACAAAATCCAAAGAGAGAGGAATCCTCATCTAGTGGAAAACTGTAATTGGAAACAGCAGGGGGCGCCTCATTCATCCATTCGAAGAGTATTTATCAAGAAGCTCCACGTATCAAGCATTGTGGTTAGGCTCTGAGATAGGACAGATAAAACCTCTTTTCCATGGGACTTAAAGTAGGAACAAGGTAGCAAAAGAGCCACTATTTATTGAGTTCCACCCTCCCCCAAATATATGAGGTGTCCGCTTTTGATAACATTCCTGGAAGGTAAATGTTATCATCCCCATTTTATAGATACAGAAATGGACACTTGGAATTGCCCAAGATTACCTCGGTCTGTGTACTCTTTCTCTGACCACCCACCTTGTTCAGTCTCTTCCTTTATTTATTACTTGAAGGACTCTAAGGGTAATTTATTTAAAGGTGATTCCCTTACTACAAGAGATTAAGGATTCCCAGGAGACCTAATGAGCATGAGGCTCACTGTCAAGAATTTGGTTTGGATCCTTGAATCCTAGAATCACTACTATGCAAAGCCAAGAAGAAAATGAGTTCCTAAAGGGAGTATCAGTTAAACAGTTATGGAAATAGTATTTCAGAGAAAACTTACCGGCCACCACACCATACTTCGGCCTGCAAGGAAGAAGCCTCCAACAGTCCCACGATTGGTGGAAAACATAGCCTGAGGACAGAAGGGTCAAAAATGTAATAGAAAACTAGAAGAGTGGCCTTGCCAGCCAAAAGGACATACCTTCCCATATGTACACTCTCTTCTACCAACTCCATTGTCTGAAACACTTTCACAGTCCTTCTTCCCTGCAGCCTCAAAAGACTCAGATGAAGGAGCCAGGAACCTACATTTGACGGACAGGGAAACTGAGGCTCAGAAGGTATATACAGCTTGCTCTAGGGGTAGCTTGAAATTAGCTTCCAGCATGGCTTCCAGCAAGTCACTCCACCTGGATCTGCTTGCTTGTCTGTTACACAGGGAGAAATTTACCTTTTTATGCCTTTCTTACAAGCATATTGAGGTGTTAATGAATGTTATATTTATTTTAGTCTTTATTACAGGTACATGATGGCATGTGCCTATAATCCTAGCTACTCAGGAGGCTGAGATGGGAGAATCATTTGAGTCCAGGAATTCAAGACCAGCCTGGGCAACATAGCAACACCTAGCTCAAAAGAAGAAAAGAAAAAGAAATATCATACTTTTAAAAAATACGATATGGGATGTGAATTATATCTTTGTTACCAGAAAAGTGAAAAAATGATCTAAGAACGCAAGGCGTTTATACTAAATACTACATAAAAGACCAGACAAATTCAAGTCTTTCCTCTCTGAGGGTATAGGTAGCAGGTTGCTGGAATCACAGAGTTTCACTCGGTCATCCAGGCTGGAGTGCAGTGGCACAATCTCTGCTCACTTCTATCTCCGCCTCCCAGGTTCAATCCATTCTCCTGCCTCAGCCTCTTGAGTAGCTGGGACTACAGGCATGTGCTACCATGCCCAGCTAATTTTTGTATTTTTATTTTATTTATTTATTTATGAGACGAAGTCTCACTCTGTCATCCAGGCTGGAGTGCAGTGGTGCAATATCGACTGACTGCAACCTCTGCCTCCCAGGTTCAAGTGATCCTTCTACCTCAGCCTCCTGAATAGCTGGGACTACAGGCGCGTGCCACCACACTCAGCTAATTTTTGTATTTTTAATAGAGACAGGGTTTCACCATGTTGGCCTGGCTGGACTCAAACTCCTGACCTCAAGTGATCTGCCCACCTTAGCCTCCCAAAGTACTGGGATTACAAGAGTGAGCCACTGTACTCGGTCAATACATTATGACTGCTGTGTTAGTATAGATGAAGGAGGGGATTCTGTCAGACCAGGGTACCAGAAAAGGCTTACAGAGAGGGAAGCATTTCAGCAAATCTTGAAGAAAGAATGGAGTTTTATTAGTCAGAGAAAAGAGGAAGGAAGATTTCAGAAACAGCAGATCTAGAGGTGGAACTTCACCCAGTGTGCAGAAGGAGGGAAAGGTGAAGAGTGTTGGCTGAGATATTTGAATGGAGAGAGTGGTAAGAACTGGGGCAGAACACACACTCTCAAATGCCAGGCTAAAAAGTGCAAACTTTATTGCATAGGCAGTAGGGAGCTACTGGGCGTTCATGAGGAAAAAAATGAGATCTAGGCAGTACCCAGGAGAGCATGGCTTGGGTCTTTCTGGACTCCTGCCAGGGTCCCTCCTCCCACAGGACATACTGTGAAGTCCTCTGTAGCAGTTTTCCTAGAAATAGCAAGAGACCTAAGGAACAGAAAAGGTAGCTAAGGACCAAAAAAGAAACAAATCCCAAGGACTTGAGCTGTAGCAGTTGACCAAGGTAAGCCATTCTGAAGGTCATTGTGAAGTTGAAGAAGATTGACATCCCCAGTTGGTCTCAGAAATGAAGAGCTTAGAGGAAGAATGTGAGGGCAGAGACTAGAGTGGGGAGCTGAAATAATTCAGGAAAGATGTTGGGGATGAACAAAAGGTGAAGAGAGGTATGTGTGCACCACATCTTTTCTTCTCTGGAATTTTCATCCCCTCATCTATGCAAGCCCAAACCCTACCTATTCATCCTTCAAAGCCCCTCAAAGTCTACTTCCTCCTACATTCCCCCATGGAAATTTCCTCCTTCCCTACAGCCTCCTCCCTTTACCAAATGAAAATAATTTCTACCTCCTCAGATGACTTCAATCATGCCTTGTTCACAGCCATTACATTTTTTTTTTTACTTTGTGTTACCATATTACAAATTTTTAATTTCCCATAATGCTTTTGGTATAATGCTTTGTGCACAGTAAATCATTGTTCTGTGAGCACAAGATGCTCAAAGGAAAACTCTGAAGTTTTAGACACCACTTCATAAACCACAGTGTTACATTCACCTGTTCAGCCTACAACTAGAAGAGAATGAACTCACAACTGCAAGCTGCAGGGGCAAAAGAAGGACAGTTACTGACCCACAATGTTTTGGTTTGGGGTTTGCTTGGGTTCTGTCTCCATGGAGGAAAAATATCACTGGGCTGAAAGAAAGAACTTTAGGCCTCTTTCCAGATGAGGAACAACTTAAGAAACTGAGGATGTTGGGCCTGGAGAAGAGAAGCCTCAAGTGTGACCTACTGTTTTCTAAAATGTAAAGTGGGACAGACATGATGCTTGGTGTGGCCCTCATAGGACACAACCAGACAAAATGGGAGAAGCTCCAGGACATCCAGTCTGAGTCCAGAACCAAAAGGAATATCCTCTCTGTCAGAGCTATCCAGAGATGGAAATAAAGCCATTTGGGAGAGTTTCTACTGGAAGTATTCAAGTGAAGGCTGTTGACAACTAGTCAAAATGATTTTGTCAAATGATCTAAACAAAAGCATCAAATTAAAAAAAAAAAAAAGCAAAGGAATTCAGCACCACCAGGACACTGTCGCAACAATGCGATGGTAGTAAGAATCATGGAGAAAGTATTCCCAGAAAGGCAAGTGTCTTGGGGAGTGGGAAAGGTAGAATAGTGGAAAGGGCATTGGCTTTGGCATCATAAGATCTTGGTTCTTGTCCCAGCTCTGGGACCAATTCATCTGAATGATTTCTGGTCACCCTCTCTGATCTTCAACTGTAAAACAGAAAGGTTGGGCTCCCTCAAGGGCCATCCTGACTCAATCATTCAATGATGCCATCAGTTCAAATGACTGCATAAGACAGGGGCCAGTAAATTTTTATTCTTTAAAGAAAAAGGGCCTAGGCCGGGCGCGGTGGCTCAAGCCTGTAATCCCAGCACTTTGGGAGGCCAAGGCGGGTGGATCACGAGGTCAAGAGATCGAGACCATCCTGGTCAACATGGTGAAACCCCGTCTCTACTAAAAACACAAAACATTAACTGGGCATGGTGGCACGTGCCTGTAATCCCAGCTACTCAGGAGGTTGAGGCAGGAGAATTGCCTAAACCCAGGAGGCGGAGGTTGCGGTGAGCCAAGATCACGCCATTGCACTCCAGCCTGGGTAACAAGAGTGAAACTCCGTCTCAAAAAAAAAAAAAGAAAGAAAGAAAGAAAAAGGGCCTGATGGTAAATATTGAGGCTTTGTGGGATACACAGGGTCTATGCTGAAAATTCTTCATATTTTGTTTTGTTATTTTTTTTTCACAACCTTCAGAAGTGTAAAAACCATTCTTGGCTTACGGACCATATAAAAACAGACTGTGGGACAGATTTGGCCCATGGGCCATGGTTTAACAATCCCTGGTTGTTAAATTGAGGGGATTTCAGGATAGCTTGATGAAATCTTCTAGCAAAATAAGGTCAAAAATCCATCTTAAAAGGATATAAAATTCCCTAAGAAACAAACTGATAGATGATGAAAGAAAATGGAAATTAACACCCAAGAAGTAATAAGCCAAAGCCTAAATATGATTGGAGGAGACAGAGTTGTAAAAGAACAAAACAGAACCAAATAATTTTGAAAGAGATGGACAAGGTAAGACAGAGAGACACTGACTGTGTGGGTCTTTTCTAAGTTGAAGAAACACAGTGGGCCTGGACCATTTTATCTGCCATCCCAGAGATCATGCAGGAGTCAGAATGCCCATTCCTGAATCAAACCGCTCTTGACACTTCAATAGCAAAACGAGGAGGATATCCAAAGCAAAACGAGGAGGAAGAAATCCAAAGCATTAAATGACCAGGGTCCAGAGGCAGTGTCTAATGAGGGAAGATTAAACATAGACAAATACTAACCAGGCTATTAAGCAGCATTTAGCAGGACAAGTGATACTGATTCACAGATACTTGAAACATGTAAACACCATTTAAAAAGTATAAACACCTACAGGACAGGCAGCGTTGAAATGAGATTGATTAACAGAACTGAGATTATCAGAGATTGTCTGGGAAACAGGCAGTACTGTATAGCCAGCAGATGATGGGCTCACACCTTGGCTCCAGCACTTATAAGCTGGGGTGGGGCGGGAGGAGGAAGTCAGTCCCAGTGGCAGAGTGCCTGGTACCGTAAAAAATCAAGAGTCAAGAGATCTGAGTTACAGGAACAATTCTGTCTATTGCAACCTTAGGCAAATCACAACCACATGAAGCTTCAATTTCCTCATCTGTAAAACAGGGATTAGCATTCTGGCCCTCCCCTTGTGGCTTTTGTGAAAATATACTACCCACTTGACCACTGCTGCCCATTTTACTTAAAAGGACAAATATTGTTCAGAGCCTGGATCATACCGTGGAGGGCAAATGACAATAGTATTTTTGTTTAATCCTAGAGTCCATAAACAGCTTTCAGATTCACCTCTGCATATTCTCACCACAACCCTGGGGAGTCATAAGAACAGATAAGCGTGTACCTATTTTATAATTGAGTAAACTGAGGCCGAGGGAAGTTACCCAGTGTTGCACAATTTGAATCATGTGAAAGTCAGTAGTAAACTTGAGTATTCTGGCTCCTAGTTGGTCAGTTTCTACTATGTCTGAGAAACTGAGAGTATTGAGAAAGAGTCAGCCATACTGACCCCATGTGACACTTAGGAGGCATTCTGCAACATCTTGTTTCTACAGCTCCTTTGGGGAAAAAGAAAAAACACTTACTTTTATACCTGAAAAAATTCTGTGTCCACAGAAGGGTTAATGCCTACCTTCCTCTCCTCTAAGTCAAAAGAGTTCAACACAATCACCTGCTGGCACAGCTGCCTCCTTGGGCTTGTCACCTCCACCCACACAACAATCCATGAGAGTGGCTGGAACATCTCCACATTTTTTTAAAATAATTTTTTATAATCTTTTTATTTTTGTAGAGACAGAGTCTCACTATGTTGCCTAGGCTGATCTCAAACTCCTGGACTCAAACAATCCTCCCACCTTGGCCTCCCAAAATGCTAGGGTTACAGGTGTGAGCCACCACACTCGGCCCTGCACACTTTTAAAATATCTCCTTCTCTAGTTGTTGGGTGTGCCAGAGTCTGTCACAAGTGAAATTTCCATTTCAGGTGACTGAGAACAAGTTTCTCTGGTTTGGTGTGTCCCCAGAGTCCCAAAGGGAGACACATACACACTTCCCTCTCCCCAGTACCAGGTCACCTCCAGGTCTTCCTCCTCCTCCTCCTCCTTTTCCACCCGTCTTTCTCATCTGTAACTTGCTCCAGCCCCTGGGATCCTCATGCACAAGGCCTTTGGGTTAGTCTCTCCCAGGAGAGGGCATGGGTCAGCATCCTGCTCTCTGCCACCTCAGCATCCCCCTCTCTGGGGCTGGCAGAGGCTGTGACTTTCCTGCTCAACACGGTTTCTTTCCCATCTGAAACTGGATGACTAAGAGGTAGGATAGCAGTCACCTGCTAAAGGCTCATCTCCCAAGCCCCAGAGCCCTCCCTGCAACTCCAAGCAGCCCCTTCCCCGCCCCTTACACTCTCCAGCTATCTCTTCAATCCCCCACCCTCCTTCTCTGCTCACAGACCCAGGTATCCTCTTTGGTCATTCCTAGAATAGGCTTCCCTGGGCACCCTTCTCATTTCTGCTCATCCTTGATTGCCCTCCTTCCTTCACATCATGCCCCTCAGTGCTTCTAAAGCCCTTCCAAGTCATTTCCACTCCCTGACACTTAAGCCTGCTGTCCCTTGCAGCTCAGAGAGGCCACCGATCCTCTGTGCGCCCCCTCCCAGCCCGCCCCTTCAGTCCGCGTCCCAGGACCCGCTACATACCCACAGTCCAACGGCCATCACCACAACGAAGTAGATGACGATGACAGAGATGTCGGCTGCATTGCGAATGAGCTCGTGGGCCTCAACAGGCCGGGTGACAGCAGTCGCGGTGGCGGGGCTCCAGGTACTACTGTCCATGGCAGTGGCGTCGCGTACCTCCCTCTCCCTCTAACCGAGGCGGCTAGCTCTTTATACCGCCTCCTGGTTAATGATCAGCACCGGGGGAGGGGACCCGCAATGTTGAGGGAGCAGGGCGGTAGCACCGAGCCCCTGAGATGCCTTGCAGCTGTACCGTCGAAAAGCAGCTCTGGGCGTGGAGCCCAGAAAGGAGCAGCCGGCTGAGCTGTTGGCTGGGGCGGCAGCCGAGCAGGTAAGAACTGTCCGGTGAACCGGGAGGGGCGGGCCAGGGGGTGGTGCCTGCCTGGCACAAAGGCCCACTGTGCTCCTGCAGCAGGCACCAGCAGTGCCACCACACCTGGCCTTGACAGAGCTGGAATGGCTCCATTGAGGGAACAGGCCACTTGGGGCCAGGGGTCTAGAGGCTGTAGGTCATCTGCCACCTGCCCTTGGACCAGTCCCAGGCCCTCTATAGACTTGGCTTGTCCGCCTGTAAAATGGGCACAGGACTCTTCTGAAGAATCAGTCAAGTCTTGTTCTCCCTGGAGAACATTCTTGGGAGGACAGAGAGTAGCTGGTTGTCGCTGAAAAAAAATCAGCACAATCCTAATCTCTTGGCCACAAGTACGGCCACCCATCCACCCACATTCCTGACTCCCCCTCCATAGTTTGCAGCCCCCAGGACCACTGTTAGCTCCACCGTAAAGAGGAAGAAACTGAGACTGGGAGAAAGGATCTCACTGGGAGCTATTTCCTTGCCCTGTCCCTCTCCCAGTAATGATGCAGGGCCCTTCAGAGGCAGCAGAAAGGAAGATACTAGAGAATCCTTTCCAAGGAGTTCATCAAACCCTGACCTTCCTGGGCACTCAGCTCACCCATCTGGAAACACATGTCTAAATCACAAGCCAGGGCTCAGAACAGTGATTATCAACAGAGGAGGCATGACTTGCCCAAGGTCACACAGTGATCCAACAGCAGAGCTGGCCCTGCAGCCCATGCCAAGGTTCAGAGGGAGGGTTGTGGGATGTTCTCAGGGGCTGGCTCTAGGGGCCATAGAGCATCCAAAAGCGGCTGTTCCCTAAGAGGGGGCTCTTGCTCTGACAGGGAGGTGCAGGGAGGTGGAGGACCACAGAAACCCTGCCAGGACTCTGCTCTGCCTCAGGCCCTCCCTGCCCAGTGCTAGACAACCACCCACTGCCCAAATGTGAGCATCCTGTTCCCTTGCACTCGTCTCAGAGGTCTGCTTCCCCTCCTACCTTATCAGCACCTGTTCTTCCCATTAAAGCTGCAGACAAAGAATCACTATTTAGTCAGCATCCCGGCAGGTCTTCCCCATCTCCCCCACACATCCCACAGGACTACAAACTATATAAGGCTATGTCCTGGGCCCAGCATAATGACTGCCCAGAGGAAGCAGGAATTCTTCTGAGGAATCTGGAAGTTGGGGCTCTCTGCTGTGGATGCTTCCCAAGACTCAGAGCTCAGCTAAGGTGGTAGTGAGGAACATTCCAGGAGGTGACAAATATGGGGGGTAGGAAAGCGGTTACAATATTCAGGGAGGGACTAGCTGTGGCTACAAGTAAACATATATAAAAGCATGTCACCTGTAAGAAACCCTACCACAGTCATTCCCCAGGCTGCAGCTTGGAGCAACTCTCCTTTTGCCTGTGTTCATTTGTTCCTGCATTTAGCAAAGTTTGAGCAGGGACCTGAAAGAAAAGGAGGAATAGGCCAGGTAAGGGGGGAGTGAGGGACATTCCAGGAGATGACAAGTATGGAGGGTAGGGAAGGGGCGACAATATTTAGAGAGGGACTAGCTGCAGCTACAAATAAATATATATAAAAAGCATGCCACCTCTAAGAAACTCCCTACCACAGTCATTCCTCAGCTGCAGCTTGGAGCAACTCACCTTTTGCTTGTGTTCATTCATTCCTGCATTCAGCAAAGTTTTTTCACCTGGATGTATCCCAGGAAGAGTCCCTGCCCTTAGGAAGCTTCTGTTCTAGTCTGGAAGCGAATCTATCCACAGGAAAAGCCCATCCCTGAACACAGGTGCAGGTGCAGGCCATGACAAGTTCCAAAAGTACAAGACATAGAAAGTGAAGTGAGCAGAAGAGAGAACTGGAAGTGCTAAAGGACTTCAAAGGAGGGACAGAGCCATTCTTTGATCTTTTTAGGAGAGCCAAACATAAAAGGGCCAAGAAAGAAAAGGCTGGTGCCCAGGTAGAGGCCAGAAAAATGCATGCATTCATCCATTCTTGAAACAAAGGAGCAGCTTCTATGTGCCAGATCATGTGTGCTGACCCTGGGATACAGCTATGAAAAGATTCACACAGCTCTTGCCCTCACAGGGCTTCCCGACCAATGGCAGAGATAGATCAACAGCAAAGATGAGACAACTACCTGTGAAATTACCATTGTGACACATGCTTTGAAGGAGAAATACTAATACCCCAAATGCCTAGCAAGGAATTTGACTTGGGGATGAGGTGAGGTTAGAATAAGATGTGTGGAAGCTCTGGTTTGAGCAGGGACCTGAAAAAAAAGGAGAAATAGGCCAGGTAAGGTGAGAGTGAGGGACATTCCAGGAGATGACAAGTATGGGGGGTAGGGAAGGGGTTATAATATTTAGGGAGTGACTAGCTGTGGCTACAAATAAACATATATAAAAAGCACGTCACCTCTAAGAAACTCCTTACCATAGTCATTCCCCAGGCTGCCTGAGGCCCTTTTGCCTTCTCTCTTCCTCATTGGTCTCTTCTAAAGGAACACTTTAAACCCGATTTCTCCTGAATGGATGCTTCTAGGAGAACACAGTGTGATGTACCACCTATTCCCATGCAGCTGGCCTGAGCTGCTGGGTCACTGCTCACTGGTAGGATCCTACTGGACTCTCTCTTGCCCTCACTGATGCCAACCAAAAGCAGAATCTGGTCACTAAAAGGGAAATGGTGAGCGGAACTCCAAAGAAAGAAGAAACCCAGCCAAACACTCAGGTCATAGGAAAGATGAGGCTGATAAGGAAAGACAAGCCTGAGGGCAGGAAGCAGCCCCCTCCCTATCCAAGTACACATAGGTTTACAATCAGTGGTCAGATGAGGGTTCCACATTTAAAAAGACAGAAGCCCACAGAGCCACAGCCATACCTGACTGTCAGAAGAACAACAAATATTCAAATGACTCTGAGGTCACTTGTGTCTACAGATGGCAGGGAGAACCCAACATTATGGAGGGCAAGGACTCATTACTAAGTGGGAACTGTTCTGTCTCCTCTTCCTCGCTCCACACTCCTCTCATCTGTCCAGAACCCTTGGGGGTCCCACCTCTCCTACCAGCCTGAGAGCTTCTCCCTAGAAGGCCCCAAAGATACAGTGCCCACCTCTCACTGGCTAAACTGTGCTTTTTAGCAAAGGACCCCACAGTAGAATGACCAGCTCCTGAACTCTTGTCACACAAAGAAATCAACAGCCTAGCTACAGAGGCTGTGAGTTTGAGGAAGTAAGGGCTGAAGAGAGAACCCACATGGCTAGTTTGATTCTCAACTCAGCTACCAACAAGCAGTAGATGACTGACATCTCACTTGCCATTTGTGACCCTCCCTTTGGACATCTGTATACAGCATTGGCAGCAGTGACTCTCTCAAACGATGGGTGTGAAGGGGTCTCATTGACAGTGAGACACCAGCAAAGATGAGAGATGAAGAAAGCCGCTATAATTTTTTTCTCCTTTCCCTTTTTCTCATTGAGAGTTCAGGTGTGGAAAGCCCAGAGAAGCAGGCTGTTGATTAGCATACAGTCATGTGTCACTTAACAACAGGATGTTTTGAGAAATGAGTCATAGGAAATTTCACCCTTGTGGGAACATCTTAGAGTATCTTTACACAAACCTATATGGGATAGCCTATACACCTAGGCTGTATGGTCTAGCCTGTTGCTCCTGGGCTACAAACCTGTACAGTATGTTACTGTAGTAAATACTGTAGGCAACTGTAACACAATGATAAGGGTTTGTGTATCTAAACACAGAAAAGGTATGGTAAAAACACAGTATAAAAGATAAAAAATTGAGCCAGGATCAGTGGCTCACACCTGTAATCCCAATACTTTGGGAGGCCAAGGTGGGAGGATTGCTTGAGGCCAGGAGTTTAAGACTAACCTGGGCAACACAGAGAAACCCGGTCTCTACAAAAGAAAGAAAGGGTGGTGGGGAGGAAGGGAAGGGAAGGGGGGGGAGGGGAGGGAAGGGAGGAGGGAGGGAGTAAATTAGAGAGAAAGAAGGAAAGGAAAGAAGGAAGGGAAGGGAAGGAGGAAGGGATACACACACACACACACACACACACACACACACACACACACACACATACACCACAATTTCTTTATCCACTTGTTGATTGATGGACATTTGGGCTGGTTCCATATTTTTGCAATACTTTTATACGACTGGAAGTACAATAGGTTTGTTTACAACAGCATCACCACAAACACGTGAGAAATGTGTTGTACTGCCATACTACAACAGCTACAATGTCACTAGGCAGTAGAAAATTTTTAGCTTCATTATAATCTTATGGGATCATTGTTGTATATATGGTCCATCATTGATGGAAATGTTGTTAGGTAAGTAAACAGCTATATTTGTTTCCTGTGGCTGCTGTAACACATTATGATCAACTCAGCAGCACAGAAAAGAAATTTATTCTCTCATAGTTCTGGAAGGCAAAAGTATGAAATCAGTTTCACTGGGCTGAAAGCAAGGTGTTAGCACGGCTACACTAAGATTCTAGGGGACAAATTCTCCTTTCCAGCTTCTAGTGGTTGCCAGCATGCCTTGGCTTGTGCCATATCACTCCAATCTTTGCCTGTGTTGGGGCAGGGAGGTAAACATAACATAAAGGTTACCTTAATAACCATTTTTAAGTGCACAGCTCAGTAGCATTAAGTACACTCACCATGTTGAGCAACCAGCACCATCATCCATCTCCAAAATTTCCCCAGCTGAAACACTTACCTCCAATTTCCCCTTCTCCCAGCCCCTAGAAATCACTATTCTACTTTCTGTCTCTCTGAATCAAGATACCTCATCATATGAGTGGTACCTCATCTGAGCGGACTCACAATCTGCCGCTATCTTCACATCACTGTCTTCTCTGTGTCTGTCTGTCTCCCTATGCCTTTCCTTTATAAGGTCAGTTCTGATGGCATTTAGGGCCCACTTAGATAATCCAGGATAATCTATCCTAATCTCAAGATTCTTAGTCACATTTGCAAATATTCTTTTTCAAAATACAGTAGCATTTACAGGTACCAGGGATTTGGACCTGATATC